TGTAATGAGGTTTCACCAAAAACAAAAAGGCGAAAAACATTGAAGAACTTCAATTTCTGAAAACCATGTGAGAAAAACAAAGGACAACAACTTTTCTGTCATGACGACAATAAGCACACGACATGCTGGGCAATTAAAAACAATTTTAAAAAGACCAAAACTTATAATTAAAGTCGCGTTGCTAATGAATATCACATTTTTTCTACATACATTGGCATTTTGCAAGTCAAAAGTCAAATACCGACCTCAAACTACGAAGTTTTTAAAACATCAAGAGTAGTCCGTGTTTTGACTGTTTCATTCAAAAATTTAAAAAAATCTTTAATTTAAGAAAATGTCCATTGACATATAACGCCCTTTACCTTTAGTAAGAGTTAATTTTCTCTTAACTGGGTCTATCATGTGAACAGTTCCTTCATATGAACCTTCTTCGGTTGTTATACGAAGCCGTGCACCAACATAATCGGCAGCCATTTTGTGACTGTTCCAGGAAGCTGACACAGGTAACCCATCAATAATACCATGGAAAAAAAAACTTTATTATAAAAAATAAAATAAAAAAAAATATAAAAAAATAACAAAGTGATCTAAAAAACGACATGAATAGGATATAATGAAAATGAAATGGAAGAAAAAAGGATTTGTAAGAAAAAATATATATGCGGCGGCTGAAATGAATTCGATACCGGTGTATCCCTGAGTCCATTGCATTGGAAAACGGCGCCCTAACGAGTTGCGCCAATGGACCACACTCATTTACATAATAATAGACCACTTGACACTTTCRCCGAATAGACTACCCCAATTTGACATYATACTTTYGATAGTTRCCTAGTTAGTGCAAGGGGTTATCCATCAGTGTCTAGGGGCCGGATAGCTTCTCCCTCACTGGCTTTTTAGTTAGCGCGAAGTTAGGACCAATTATCGGGATAGCATGGAAGAGCCGAAATCTCTAACCGGAATGTAAATCGATTCSMMKCCTCAGCTTCACAGAATGTCTCGGGGGAATCGTCCCAACCTTTTTCGAAAAACGGCTTACCATGGGTTCGAGTCCAAGCACMGTCGGTCGTGTTCTTCTTTCTTTCCATATTTTCTTATCATGTTTTTCTTCTTTTTTTTTCTTGTTATAATAGGAAATTATGGCATTATTTGACGATATCACTGTTTATCTTATAATTATCCATGAAATACCTATATTTCTCACTTTCGAAAACTTGTACAACTAACTACAGGAAGTGCAAACTGCATCATGGGAAATGGGCTTGCTTCCGGCGCAAGCTCCACTGCATGCATTGACTAGAAATAACGCTCAAAAATTMATCAAACTAGTTAATAATATTGGTTTTACCATTCATAAMGACTTTTTTCTCAATTGGATTCACTATAAATTGCCAGTGTGAACATTTGTACATAAGCGTTTGTGGGCGTATGCAGGGGTTTCATGATGAAGGTTCCTTGTTTTTGCGGTAAGGCAATTGATTGAAAAATTGCTCAAGTATTGGATTGTTTTGCATTTACGCCGAACAAACCATTGGACTATGCGAAAAAGGCGTTGCCCTATAGATTTAGCAAATATATTCTCATATTTTAAAGCTTTCTTAGGGAAGGAGATTTCCGCAACCCTTGGAACTACCCAATGCACACACTAAAATCATTCCCTTTACAAATTTCCGCGTCTCGCTGTTTAAATATAGTTCATAGCGGTAAACACGTATAACAAAACAAGTTTCAGTTGCGGCGTCGACAGAGTTTGAAAGCTGAACAACAGCGCATTTATTCATCAACCATCAAATTCTTTTTTTGTTTGGCTACCGACTAATGCTCATGAAACAGCTAATAAATAGTTATGTACAAAGAACGTTATCATGTCTGTTACTATGTTACTTTGAAAGTCTTGGTTCTCTTCCAGTACGACTATTCGAAGAGCCAATCGCAGGTAAGATGAGCTCCTTTGACCTTGAACAATTGGACGTTTTTGGCGCTAAGCGTTGATTTGGTTTAAATAGATTAGGAAAATATGGTCTTTTAATTTGAGCAGGCTTGCGATACGAGGTGCCATGTTGCGTGGCATATATTGAAAACAACTGRTTGAGTCTCTCTTTTTCTTGCAATCCCATTTCTTTGAGCTCTGTGAAGCGCTGCTCTTGCTCAAAAGAACTTTCGCGAAGRAACCGTGCTTTGTCTTTTCGTCTTCTTAAAGAAGATGAATACTCTTTTTTTCGAATCAGTTTCTGAATTTCCTTCAACGGAGAAGATGGCTTTTCTATCGCCTCGTGTTTCGATTTTTTCTTTCTTCGTCTAGCCTTTTCCATTTCCATGACGTCCATGGCAGAGTAGATCCGTTCCGCAGCTTGCAATGAGCTTATTTTATCTTTTATTGGAGGGCAAATAGGAGGCGACATTCCGTTGACTATTTCTATGATAGTAATTGTTTCTGCGATTGTTACGTCATCAGTGCACGTAATTCTCCATATTAYCAGCGCGCGCAACACAAGATATATAAATAAGTCATCTCTAAATCAGCCAATCAGCACATCCGAGGTCGTTSAAAAACACGAATGCGATAAAAAAGCCCCATTACAGAAGTGGATATATGTCATCTTTTCAYCTTTGCATGGATCGATATCTAGAAGAAAACCGAAACAAATACACTTAGCAGCTGCAGATTGGTTCGGAGAAAGAGTGCAATTTGTAGCTAGAGCGGATTTCGTATGACTGTGCAAAAAAAAAAACACGGTCTATTGTAAAGCGACGGCACTTTGCAACATATGTGATATTAAAGTAGATTGCTTTAGTTTTCGGGCTTCCTGTGTTCGTTTTAAATTTACCGAACTTGCTTGAATAAATCATGCAAAACCCACAATGGCATAAACACTGCTTACAGTGAAAGAAAAAACATGCAATAAATATTAGTTTCTGCAGAAAAGCAGATGAATGAATGAAAGAAAGAAAAATGATTAAATAAAGAGAGAGACGGGGAAAGAATTAATATTAAGGAAGTTTGCAAAAAATTAGAAAAGATAAAATACAAATAAATTAGCTTAACTCAATTTCAAAATTAGTCAAAATAAAAAAAACAAGTTTTGAGAAGAACTTAGTAAAAAAACAACAAACACAATAGTAAAAGAAAGCACAACACAGACATAAAATGTTTTTCAATACTCACTTTTGGAATGTCAGCATTGTTGCAATGCTGAGTATGATTTCCAGYGTAAGCAGACATAGCTGGATTGCAACTAATATAACCTCCAACCGTAACCTAGAGACAATGGCAGACATTTAACATCATAACGTACTGTATGCATAGACGTATTCAGGATTTTCATTGGATTTTTCATTGTGACTGTGACATCATATGACGTCAATATGATGCCATATCAATGTATGGTTTTTACGCTTTTTTGGCTTTGAAAGGGGGGTCACGGGGACCATGTGACCCCCCCTTGGATATGCCCCTGGTATGGTATGTGTATGTAGAGTAACAATCCTATATACTTACACATAMGTCTGCCAAAGAAGAATAAAGAGTTCAATAAACAGAGTTGGGATACCAAGAATTATTGATACTATTAGTGCCATTGACTGTTCTGCCAAATTGCCTTTATAACCTAGTGTCAAAAGAATGAATTATACTAATAATATCTAATATGGCACAAAACATTCCTCTATACAGAAGAAGAAGAAGAAAAAACAAGCTTTTTTATATATGAAAAAATAACAAAAAACAAAAAAAACACTGCTCTTTACTAATGCTCTCCACAACTTCAGACACACTTAACAAATCAGGTACAAATTAATGATAAGCAAATCATTTGAAAACAATCATCCTGTTCTCAAAATGACTTAGTTTTCTGTATAATGTATTATGAAATCAAGGATGCCAGAGCAGATTATCCATATTTCCACCCATCCAACCCTTGATAATCCAAACTGATCTTCAGATGAAAATTGTTCTTTAAATCTTTTTTTATGCTCATTTTCACAAAACATGGCCCCCTTCTCCACTCCAATTTTCTGGATCTCATCTCTCCAAAAAAAAAAACAAAAAAAAACCAACAACAACAACAACAACAACAACAACAAAGTATTCTGAATCATCCAAAAATGTCTCTCTTTTCCTCATACAAGACATCAATGAAAGGTCASCAAGATGCTTTGCCAGAGAGGGAGACAACTGAGGATGCGCCAGAAAACCAAGTGTAACAGTATTTTGATGCCATATTTACCAAAGAAAAGCCTGACACCTTCTACAAAAGCCAACAAAAGAACCAACAGTATTTCTATTGCCAGTGTTCCAGCCATGCTTGGATATGGCAATACAGTACCTAACACGTGAAAAATTGAAAAACAAAATAACAAAAAATGGTGAGATGGGAAGAAAGACAAAGAGAAGTAGAAAGGACAAAGAAAAGTCAGAAATAAGGGAAGTCAGAAGGTGGAGCAGTTAGTTAAGAAAATAAAGGAAGAAAGGGAATGGAAGAAACAGCATAAAGGAAGAAGGAACATAAAAAACAGCACAAAGCAAAATGAGAAGTGAAAAGGAAGGAACRTAGGGTACATAGTAAATTTTACCTWAAGCTATGAAACAACTACTACTTAATAATGAAGAGGACATGTAGTTATGATTAACCAAAGTGTCTYACCTTTGTACACAAAAAGAAGTATTTCTGCAGCACAGAATATAACAGAGTACCAGACATTCAGATACAGAAATACTTGTAATGGTAGAGAGGACAGCTGATAATATAGTCAAGGTCGTATGTAAACAATTGGGAATCAAAAAAATATAAAATATATTTAATCAAGACTTAATYAAGCAATAGATGAAAGTGATGAGACGGAAAAGTCTTCWGTTGACAGTCGTATTTATGACAGCTAAAACAAACACCTCAACAAACACGTTATTTCATGTAAAGGATACCTCGATGACCGTTCTTCCTACAAAAGAGGTCAAAAAGTTTAGTTYCAATCGTTTAGTAAATAGTTATATAACAAATATATCCTAAAAAGAACAATCTTTTGACAAAAGCAACAAACTCACCTTGAGCAGCCATTTTGTTTTTATAAAATMATCCGCTGTTTACAATAACGAAGGCTCAACAAAGCTTCCTGAATCCCCATAGCAACAGTCAAAAACCAATWTGGAGTTGAAGGATGCTTGAGTTTTCTGACTTTTGCCTTTGAATACGCTCTAAAATGACTTCGCCTAGGAAACATAAATCTCTAACGTCTGCTGCTATCGATTGTTCAAATGATTTTTCAATGCCTCTTGATTTTTGCTTTCATCATTTGGAGAAATTCGAAGGTGCGTTCAGTCTTTAAATTGCAACATGACCATGCAAATAATCTTTCTGATAAAGTTATGTTTTTATTAAAGTAAAACCAAGCCTTGTWAGGAAATAGAACTAAGGATATTCTACTTTTGTTTTGTTCCAGATGTACTTAAAGAGCCTCCAAGAAACAAAGTCAAGGTAATTAACTTACATTTCTTGACAATACTGTACTGAATAACTTTGTACACTTTATTATGGTGATGCGGTGCTCATTAAAATAACATCTCAAATGTGATCGTGACAGTTATTTATGACTGGTACTTATAGCAAGCGGTTCAAGCTTAGCTACTTTCGTTTTCAAGCTGTATCGGCTAGGATCTATTACAACTGTAGTAAATTCACGTTGAAAATACTAGTAACAAAAAAATAAACTAAACATTTGAAAAGAAAACATCGATATTGTTTATGTTGTGAACTGGAATTATAACAGCCCCATGATTTCGCTAATGTTTCTGTAATAATTAGTCTACTAGTGATGACCATATGCACGRTGGATATAACTATATTTATTGTTTTCTTGCAGAAATGTCCTGTTACTGGGAAGTACATAACTAATTCTGTTAAGTTTAGTTACAACCAACTCTCATCATATGAAGACTTGCAMACTATTTTGGACAGTTTGCTTGTAGATCCCAAGTCCCTTGAGTGGCTGGATATTGCTTACAATGACTTTAAAACTGTTGATGAGGTAAGCAAGCAGTGATTTCTTAATGTGCTATAATTCTTATCAAAATATGATCAAAGGAGACTACCCAGAGACATGACATGGATATGATTGCTCCGTAGTCATTATTCTAAAAGGGGAAATAATAGTGTTGCGGGTCCTAAAAGATATACGATTTTTTTTGGGGGGGGTGAAGCTCTATTAACCACCCCCATTGCTTTTGTAAGCTATTACTCCCTCCCCATTCAATTTCTGATAAATGTCTGTCACAGGTACATGTATGTGTCATATTTTGAATCCTAAATGGTCAGCTGGGTACCCAGTCAAGATGCACCCAAGCAGTAGCATTTTACATGCATRTACGGCATGCTACGAATGACTCTATATCCTTCCCCCAAAGAAAACTRCTTTGGTTCATTTTTTTTCTCATTTATATAGGTAATCCTAAATTATCCAAATCTAAAAATCCTCAACTTGGAAGGCAATGACATCGAAAAGCTTTCAGAATTAGACAAGCTTGCAAACCTGCCACATCTTCAAAACCTGACTATCCAAGGAAATGAAAAGATTGAGAGTATAAGTGGTTACAAGGACTATGTCATTGCAAGATTACAGCACCTTAAAAAGTTTAATTCAGCCCCWATTACTAAGCAAGACAGAATGGGTGCTATTATTAATTGTGCAAAAGTTAAACAGAAGAAGAAAAGAGGCAGTAGTAGCTCTTCTTGAACTATGTAAACTAATGATTGAATGTCTGTATAAAATCTATATTTTACCAATCACAACATATTTTATTAGGAAGTACTGCTCTTGCATCATCAATTAAGCACCGTACCTGTTGCCATGAGACAGGTTGTCCACCTATGCAGTAGGGAGAATATGATTTTGCTTGTTTCCTTCAGGGAGAAGAAATAACTCTTTCTCTTCCTTAAATGGACCATTGCTCATAGAAACAGTCCAGTAAGAAAAAGAGAATGTAGTATTTTTTCAAGGTTTAAGACAGATATTTATAACWATAAATACTTCCTAAAATGTATTTGGATATTGTTCAATAGGGAGCAATTGACAAGTAAGAATTTAAAGCATTGCTTGAGGTCTCTTGGCAACATTCATTGGTAAATATGAAGAGGATTCTGAATTAGAATAGAAATGATTGATATAAATTGCAGTGAATATTTTACACTCATCATTTGCAGACCAGGTGGCTGAGTTGAGTCCATAACTTTATTACATCTGCATATATTAACATTAACTTACAGTATACAATATATTAACTATAAACAGGTTTCTAGAAAATGTATTTGCTAGGTAAAAATCACAATTACTATAAACATATGTACAATGTAGGAGTGAAAACACTCTCAGTCCATGGATTAAAAGATTATTACTACTTAGAACATATTTAGTTAGTGTTAGTTCTCAACTTCTATTTGAAATTTTGCATACCATCATTCATGATATTCTATTCTACAGTTCCCTGGCCCATCTTGAAAGGTARCTGAGTCTGAAAGTGAGACRGCAGTTGCRATAATGCATACCTCTTTATCAATCACTGCAGACTCAGCTCCTGAGGCACTTTATGTAAAATTTACAATGGAGTGATGCAATATTTCCTTATAAGATATAATGCAACATGCAGCATGCAATTTAAATGTGTAATTTTGTAAATTATAAAAAATTTGCTGTTAAAAACATGAATTCTAAATGCTGAATTAGATGACACAGATGACAGTTGTAGAGCTATGTTGTAAGGATGAATAATGGAGGTTGTATGCGATGGTTGTAGGCAAAAGTTGTRTCGTCTAAATCGGGCTTAAAAGACTTAAATTTTGGCTGCCCTTTAAATGTCTGAAAAGAAAAAAAAATTAACACATGCCATCACTTCCATGCACAACCAGCCCAGGTTGTGAGGTAAGGATGAACTTRYAACAAAAGTGGCATGKTCKTGWTTTGTTTGTTGTCTTTAAGCTCTTTTCATTTGTGTAAATTYTTAGACTGTTATAACTAAAWAGTTAAAACTTATGATAGGCTTCTATGAGTGGAAATGGACGTATTTCTTGGAGTAAAAAATSTTCAAACTGGTGAATTTTTTTTTCACTCAATGAAGCCTATTAATCATAATTACAACCATCATAATGCATGGAGTAATTTTAATAGATAATATTTCACATATGCAAAATCTTGCACTTACCATAACTCTAGAATATGAATAACTGTTAATCTAATGGAAAATTATTGAKGCCCRTTTAAATATGATTTTCATCATTTTYATTGAAATAAWAGATTACTCATAAATAATCTGTTTAAAATACCACTTTTTTATTATATATTTGCCATTGTGTTTTCCAACTTGTCAAGTATGGTTAACATGATTTGTCGTAAAATGAGTTTCTTCCTCTTCATCGTCATCACCTTCATCCCCTCCAGTCTCTACATTTCTCATTAACATGGCYTCTGCACCATCTTGGATTCGACCAATCTTTTTCTTTGGGTTTGGGAAAAGATTCAAATCCTTCAGACTGAATTTCACATTCTTGAAAGCATGAAGTAAAAACACTCCGAAAATAATTGTCAATACACCACAAATAGCACCAATGGTATCCTTTGCATTCATTGCTTTCCATTCTTTGAAGAGAATTGCCGATGCAATAATTGTCAACAGTGTAAACATCACATAATAAATAGGTGTCACAAGGGAAGTGTTGAATATGTCCAAGGCTTTGTTAAGATAATTAATCTGTGTTGTTGCACAAGTCAATACTGTAATTATCAGCCCCCAGGCTACAGGGTTTGCTATTTGACTATCTCCACGTAATGTCTGTTTGAGAACTATACCAATACCTTTACAACCCATGACAGACAGAGAGCCAATCAGAGAACAAATAGCAATATAAACTAGGATGTTAGATTTGCCATATTTGGGACCAAAATGCCATATAAGGATAAACGCAAGTAGAAGAACAAAAACTGCATAAACAATAAAACCTGAAAAAGATTAGAAAAAGCAAAATATCAAACAAAGTATTATACAATACCATGTCCATAGTCATTCATCTCCAAATCTTAGTCTATCAACCAAATAACTTTTATGTTAATATATCTGGAAGGAACTAAATCCAGTCTTGCTATTATCACACAGTCAAAACCAAATTCATGGACATCTTACTTTTTTGGTGACATGTTTTTTTTAACAAACATTACGGTGCTATATATAGCTTTGGCACAAATAATACCATATTTGGCAGCAGAAACAAAAGATGTTTGTACCAAATTTAGATTACAATGCAGTGCACTATGCTATTTCAGAAAAGGCCTATAATAGGCAATTTTTACCTGGTTCAATAAGTTTGGCTTCAAGTTCTTCAATAGAGTCAACTTCTTCCTCTTGTGGWGCATGTATAACCAAAACAGTAGACCCAATAAGAGATAATATACAACCCACTTTACCATGAAGGTTTTGTTTTTCATCCAGAAAGTAAGAAGACAATATGGCACTAAATAAYACAGGAAGATATTAATGATAACAAAAATTGTCTGCCTTAAACAGGAAATCCTGTTTTGCCTGGAGGGATTGATGTTACTTTTGTACACAGGGATCAAGGTTTTACATTTTTTTAGATCAGGATTAAGCCTGCTKGGAACTCAAGTCAATTTGTTATTTTGCCACAAATCAAAAAACTGCACAACTAAGAAGTAGTACTTTATTACCATTTGTATTTATTTTTACCATTTAATTTTCTTACTGGAAATGAAACATTAATTGGATAAATGGGATTTGGATGGGATATGCTTTRAACATTGACAATGGAAAAGTATGATATCAATAAATTTGGCAAAAAAATAATTATTTAGTTTAGTATAATACCTCTTGAACCTAATAAMAATTAAACCTAATAACATTATTAAACCTTTTGTTAGGTTCATAAAAGAGGTGAAAATTAAGAAATATATTTAAATGCCTCAAAGAAGCCACCAGCCACCAAGTCAAGAGTTGTTTATTTTTCACTCTTGACAATTTCTTAACTGTCTAACCTTCTTTGGTCTCATTCTTTCAACATAAACAAAGCTGTGGCTACTTGAAAGAAGTTACATTAAACATTATAGCAATTGCTTCATGTTACAAATAATTATATCTAAAGCAAAAAAAGTTCCAARGCTAATAACAAAAACTGGAACTAAATCCACAATGAAAATAAAGAATTAATCTTATTTCCAACACACTATTCTTATCACAGTAACTTCTGTCCTGTGTCATGRTTTATAATATTTGTACAACTGCCCCTGTGGAATCATGTAATTCATGCATAAATGAGGAAAATATAATGATACTACACAAAATCATTACCTGACTAAAACGCTTAATGCTCCAAGCGGAGTGACAAGAATWGCTGGTGCAAATGCATATGCTGAAAAATTAGCAATTTCTCCGACAATCACTGAAACAAAAAACACAAAAGTATTCAAAAATGATTGCAATGATTSTATAAAATATAATAATTACATGTAAAACTCTCARTATGAATAGACCCATGCACCACTGTCATGGCACAATGTCTCCAGCATGAGTAAATTAATTAATATTAGCTAGTTTATTTCTGTCAAAATCAAGGATTAGTGATGTAATGAAACAAAAAATATGTATTGATATACAGTATTTCCTTGTTTCACATAACAGTGMAAACTTTATAATATAAAATCTAATCAAGAATTTAAAATGATTTAGTCCACATAATACTCATATAGGCAAGCTTCTAACTGCATTGAATTTCACAACTATGGTCATGTTTGGATTACATCTTTAAGTCAGTATGACACCATAACTTGTGAATGATAATAGATGATATAGAYCTTCAAATATCTGATCATGAACTAAATTGAAATGCATTTAAAAAATGTATTGAAATACAATAATACGAYAGATTCACAAGGTATAGTAATGAGATATCTACTGTCGATACGTGGCGATAATTTCCATATGTGGTCATAATAATGTTATAACTCATGTTATCCATCCTTCATGACTGACTGAATCGCTCAACCTAATTTTTTTAACATCTATCCGTGTTATAGATGAAAGGATATCTACTTACTTGAAATCATGCCCGCCCACCAAAGCCATTCCTTGAGATAAGCATACCCACCTTGTCCTGGGGAACAAAAAAGATTACAAACTTATTAAGAATTGATGAGTTTGGAAGCCAGGAACTCGACTACATTAAATTTCTCCATAAACAAAGATCACGAACAACCAAACAAACTTCTACATCAAGACAAAAATAGCTACAAAAATTATCTATATCCATGTATCATACCTGCTCTCACTCCAGCCCTTTTTGCAACTCTTAGAAGTCCTTTTTTCTTGACAATGAAACTAGTTCCTATGAACAAACTAGAACTGATGGCTAATCCAAGACCGGTGTAGAAATCTCTAGACGAAGCTGCGTTTGGATCGCTCTGGTTATGATAAGTGGTAGGTATACCTAAAACACAACACAAACGAAGTCTGATTGAATTCCAAATCAAAACAATAAGAAAATTTTACAAGGAAAGTTTGAAAAACTCACCACCAACAGAACTCGCCATCTTATTTCGTCTGATTTTCACGACTAATTCGAGCCCAGTCTTTCCGAGTTTGTGATGACGTCATTTCCTGTAGCTAAGTGTTGTCACAAGGGTATGGCAAAATGGAGAAAGATTGAAAGAAAAAGGAAAAAAGAAAGAAAAAGGAAARGAAAAGAAATGCCTCGAAGTATACAATTGAATCGATTAATAATGAATGAAAGAGAAAATTAAACGAATAAAAYATATAAATCAAAATCGGCTGAAAGGGACAATCCTTCTCGTTTTTCACATGWGAGTTTTTAGTCTCTWWTTTAACTTTTTTGAAGATTTTAAGTTTATCTTTGGAATCCAATTTTCCTATGTCACCTTTGCCAACATTTTTATTAAGTTTATGCACTCCTAGGGTGATTGATCTGCAACCCCAACGAGGGAATGGATGAGSTGATGTATATAGTAACCAGMAGGAGCAAATTACTCCCGTAGTACCTTAATCGTGGACAAATCACTTGGTTGGGACACCAATGTCCTTAACTGTCTTAATAGTCTTTAATAGTACCCCTTCCCCCGTCTCCCCAGACTTTACCCGCTGTGGGGAAATGGGAGCCGGAAGAGAGGGGGTTGGGATGAGAAGAAAAATACTTATTGGTCACGTATTTATCCTTGCAATAAAATGATTATTTTTCCATATATAAATTTTATTTTTGATAAAGATTGCGTTTTGTCACAAAACGGATCCTTCATCAASTTGAATCAGCTGAAGTGGCTGAACAGTAAAAACAGTGATGATTGTCTGTCATTGCATGAGTCTTGCTCTTTTGGATCGAATTTTTATGCCAGCTTTTTTCAAATTTAAAGTAGAATTTAATTTTTAGTGGTTAATTTTAATAAAAAAAATTGGTTAATTTTGAGGGTCACCGACATGACAAAGAAGGTCACTAATAAATTATTCTCCCGGGCCGGCTTTGCTAATTCAAATGCTTTAAATGCGGGGAATTTATCATCGTGAATACGTACAAAGCCGAAAAGCCACTTGATTGATCCAAAACCTTCTAAACTAATTCTGCATTGTTTTTCCCCTTTTGTCATCTATCCTACGTTCCGGTTGAAAAAATACAGCTGAAGTGAACATTCCTCATAGACCCAGTTTTTAAGGCGGCAATAGCATACTTGAACCCCAGAACAAAAAGTCAAGAAAATACAGAACATAAGATGATTTTTTTTCTAAACAAAATTTACGGAATCGCTTATTTCGAAAGCGAAAACGTTACGTATAAATGGATTTCACCCCACTAATTATGCAAATGTTCTTTTGTTCCGTTTAGATTAATTACCATAAATGAATGCTCAGGCGGGACTATTATATTCGACATTTAGTTGCGGCAAAACGAGCTTGGCCGCCTAACTTCTCTCGCCTTTGCTTGAATAGTATCACTGATGACTAGGGCTAGAACAAGTTGACAAATGGGTTTCCCGAAACCTGGCTTAGGCTGGCTGCCAGTCTTATGGTCGTTGTTCGCGGGAATAGCCATTGCCKTATGTTACTCCATCGCTGCATCCAACAAGCACATATACCCCTTTGTACCCGCGATAAGTGACACTGGGTTAAAGATTCCAGAGAATGCAATCTTTGCCGAAAGCTTCAACTTTATAGCTTATTCCGTGCTTGTACTTATGGTCATCCGTTATTTCCAAGTCAGGGAGATACTCTTRACTGGAGCCGTCGAAGAAGCGCCAAAAGAAACCATGCTCAAGAATCTAAATCGCGGTTCTGTCGTCCTTGGCTCTTTTGCTGCCTTGGGAGCGACTTTAGTTGGCAATTTTAAGTCTGAAAGGGTGAGTTTATGTTGTAAATCGACTACATGTACTTGACATTCTAAGGAGAAGCTGTGAATACGGTGAATGAAATAAGGTGCCCTCGAGTTGGTCAAGACTCTATTATTTGCATTTTGAATATATATTCACACTAGCGACGGCGAAAAATGAACAGTAGACAAGACTGTATCAGTATATACTTAAGCTTTTGGGTTTATTTATTAATACATTTATAAAAAGTTAAGATAGCGGGATTTGAAGAATATCTTTTGTAAAGATCACAAGCGAAGCATAACCGCGTCGCTTCGTGTCGTTGTTTACAAATGAAGTATATTTGAATCCAAATGTTTTCATATGATTCGCGTACTCTCCTTTTGATTATTAATCGATATCTATAGTTTTACGGGTTGAATTTGTCTAAAGATTTCCGCAAATTAATTTGAAATTGTTGTCATCATACAGACTCTTGTTTGTATGAAAAAATGCAACATAAATTGAAACTGAAATAAACGTYCACTCTACGCATCGTTGGTGAAATACAACATYGCCCTYTGATAGCATGATATGTGTACAGAATCGATGTATATCGTTCTCTGTGTGGTCAACAATTTCTGTATATTCAAGCAATCAAGTTATACTATTTTCAAATCAATACCAATACCATTTCAGTATAGGTTTTGACTGATGAACAATAGAAAAATAATTATGAATAAGAATTTTTTCTACAGTGATTATTTTAATGCTCTACACTGTGTAGATAAGTAAGAATCCAATTACATCGAGAAAAGACTTGTACTTATGATACAGAAAATTTTTGCTTTTGAGAAAAAGAATCTAAAAAATATACCAGTTTTATCGACAATTCTTGAGTAACCGGGGAAACCAAGGGGTCAGTGATTAATCTTATTGTAAATATGGTTGACGATAGTTTCTTTGGTTTTAAATAAAACCTCGCATAAAAAGTACTAATATAGCTTTATTTTGTACAAAATGCTTGAATTTTGCAATTGGAATGAACGGAAAACGGTTTTTTTTCCGTAGGTCTTGACAGGTTTTTTGTTGGAGGGTCCTCCCACGTACTGACAGCATTGCTCATTTGCCTACTTCCCTAGTTTCCAAAGCTCTTTTGAATTCATCATACAACTTATCAAAACTTGTTTTCGAAATATTATCTCAAATCAGATAAATCAATGAAAAACAGAAATGGAAATAAAAAGTTTCTCGCTTTGAAAAACCTGCATGAGGTATTTTGCCTTCTCATACCTTTTAAGTCAATATTTGCTGTGGTTCAGAGAATTACTAATTCAACATTTCTAAAATCTTTAAATTGAAAAGTTGAACCACAAAAATACTTTCCGATTGGTAGACCTACCATCAAAACAAATACGATTTTTTTCAAAGAAATATGCGTTTCTTGTTAATCTTTATTGACGAGAAACACTTTTCTTGCTAATTGATACAAGAAGCAAATGCGGCATGAATCGAGTCGCGTTAAAATTTTCCTTTTTCGTCAGAGTATCAATCCTTATATATTTTCTTACGCTACTGATCTACTTTTTTCGACATTTTCCGGAAAAGGGTCGAAAGAGAACGTTGAGTTAAATATCGCACCTGATTTATTGCGAAACTAATAGTAAATTTTCCAACCTTCAGGGCGCTCGAACGAAAACGCTAGTTTATCAAATTCAATTAGCGTCTCAATTTGTCTTATGAATTTAGCAGTAAATAGTCTCAATCTGAGATTATACATGGTATGTGGAAAAATAGATCTCGTAGAAAGTGTGGTCAGATAGATGTGGGTAGTTTACATTAGCCGTGATTTTCGCTTCTCAGCTATATCGAAAAAAACCTGAATTATCCGGAATTATTCACGGCTTTATTGCTAGATATTTATAAGAAAAATATATCAACAAATATATCAAAAAGGAAAAATATAGATCGCGGTGGTCTTTAAAGTCATTAAAAAATTACAAGAAAGAAAAATATGTATATGACACGTTGTCCTTCGCCATCTGGACGCAGAACGTTTCTTCCGTGATACCGTTTTTCCCTCTTGATCAACATCATATCTTCATCAACCCCGCTTTCATGGTAGAAAATTCGACTCAAATCAAAATCCTCCTGCTGTGCCTTAGTTCGTTTCTAGCTGTGAAGTAACTTTTTCTAGAAAATCTAGTTGCAATTTCTATATAGGGCATTGAGAGTGATGGGATAAAAGATACTATGAGGTCAATTTCAGTCATTTTCCCTAACAAGAAAATTTTCATGTTGGMTAKACTTCCCGCRATCAAAAACGTGCTTTTATTGTGATTAAAAGCAGATCGGAATCTAGACGATCGATTTAGGATTTTAGAAAAAAAAATACATTGCAGTAAAAATCTATACAAACAAAGTATTGAAAATGTCTAAAAAAAGATCATCCCTCTGATATCACTATCAGAACTTCCACAAATAAAATATCAGGTTTTCGTGGAATTATTGGCGATTGACGTACGTTGCCTTGTGAGCAGAGCCCTTTTCTTAATCGTATTGACGCACTACGGAAGCTTGACATCATTATAACAATATCTCTATTGAAAATAACTAATACTACAAAAGCAAAAATGAAGAAAGAACTCATTTTTAAATTTATACTTTCTTGTCTCCATAACACGTTAATAGATAAAGTATTCACGAAGTTAGTCGTTGTTGAATACTTAGTACCGAAAATGTTTTTGATAAAAATCGGTTGGCTTTCGTGTTGTTCGGATGAACGATTTAAAAAAATAGACTCTGGCTCAGACGTTTATTGTTTAATACAGAGTTTTCCTGCTTACTTTGATTAGTTGTTGTCAAATACAACATCAATCATCGCATCGGACTTAAAAAAGGCACAAGACACAAACAAAGTGAATCAACCGTGCATTATGCATTCAACAAAAAAATAAGCCAAAAATCTTGTATGTTGAAAACCCGTCCCTCGTTCACTCGCCCACCCATTTCCCCTTACCCCGTCACTTTTCTAGTGCCGACTTCCAAACCGCTCCATCCCTCCCTTAGTCAGTTTAGGTAATGGTTGACAATAGATTAAGCCGGTTTAGAGTTTTRAAGTGCTTTTTATTTCCACTCATGTAGCTTAACAATCGCGTTTAGCTTTTAATTGATTTTAACGGTCAATAGTGTGCATGCCATTGATCTGAAGATCAAAAAAAATGAGAATGATTGACATTTTTATGGTGCTTTAAAAAGCAACATGCGCTAATGACAACAAATAACAGCATTTCACTTACTTAATTCATCAAATCAGTCGATAAACTTCGCGTAAACGTTCACGCAAACTCGACCGTGATTATCACTTTCGCTGAGATTACTGAGATCTTCTCCGTACCAGATCCTCATTTGCTTGTAAAGCGGGAAATAGAATGGATGCGCGTAGTCTGTAAACACGAGTTCTCTGCTATATATGGTGTCAGCAAACGGGAGATTGTACCACTTAGTTGACCATCTACATGGCACATAAGAACAAAAATATTTTAATCAGATTGGGGTGTGAGACTACATTGGGTAACATTAAACACTCCTGTCCATATTGTACTGACTTATTAGACTTACCGCCAAAGTTCTTTTCTTGGGAAGAGAACATGGTTGTTCTGGTCAGTTCCTATGACGTTCAAAGGGATTTTGGCCAAACCTCTGTGCCTTCCGCATCCCCATCTGCTATTGTGAACTGCATTGTTGTCACACCGTATGTAGCCTCGAAGGTAGACGAGTTTGATGGCAGCAACCATTCCTTGTTTGGCATAGTTGTGGAATGAGCCATACTTGTTACCCCTCGCGCCAAAGCAAACCGCATGAGAATTCATTTTGACCCATCTGCGCCTACAGTGTCCTTTCACACCTATAAGATTAGAGGAAAAATTGCTTACGGTAAAGAAGGAGGAATAGTCAGAATACCGGCCTTATGCAAAAGCGGGCTATAAAATGAAATACAAAGTATAATTTACCCTGTCCATAGTGTAAAATCATCACCGTCAAGCAGAGAAGAAAACTGAAAACTCGAAGATGCATCTTTAGACTTTTCGTTGGTCTACTGAATGAAGTCTAAGATAGGAAATGCTAGGCGTTTTGTAGTTGCATAACATGTAGTTTTTTCGAGTTTAGACTAGTAAGAACTATTCTTGGTTTTCCTCATGACGTCATCAGTCGAAAAACAACATTGTAATGCTAAAATACCTTGAAGAGCATGATAGAAGTTCTCTCTGAATGTTTTAACTTTTTTATAACGTGCAACAATATATCACGAAATACTGTCACGAAATACTTGATACACGCCAAAAAACCTCGAAAAGTCTATTTATCTTAAAAAAATATATGCCAAATCTTTGTTCGTTGTTCAGAGGTCCGATTACATAGCAACAGAAACAAAATGCAGTTTATCAAACCGGGTCACAGTCTCCCTTGGTGATCTCAACGAAGACAGGGAGCCCAAAAGTAGAAAGAAGGGCGGAAAGGAAGAGACTACATTACTCAATTTTGAAACTTGTTCACACTCAAGTGTGTGGATGTGTTGATACCATATTTTCGCTTTATTTCGTATAGTTTCTGTATTTATTGGTAGCAACTTAGGTCAAAGCAGACTATTCAACTGAGACGGAATACAACATTTTACGTGCAGTGCTGAAATTTGGTAAAATAAGTACCACGAAACTCAGTTCCATAGCTAACGCCTTAAAAATTTCAAGACAACAATTCAGATCACTCATGCTATTATCAGAATGTTTTATGATGACCTTATTTAAAAGTTAAATTTTTGAAAATGAGCTTCAAAAGGTTAGAAATTATGCATAGTTAGAGTCCAACTCTTTTGACTCCTGTGTTATAAGGTATTTGATACCCTTTTTCTTAGGCTTTACACCCACAGCGGCAAAGGATCGATGAACTTACAGCTTTTTTTAAACGGTGGGATCACTGCCGGGGGGAGTATTTGTATCATCGCTAACCGGCTCACTATTCCAACCCATTCCATCCTTTTTGTTCGTAAATCATCAGTAATCTTCATTATCATTTGTATTATCAGAGACGTGATGGACAGTATGAATAACGTACGATACCTTTTTTTACTGGAAATATCGATCTTCTAGATAACAGTTGTCCTTTTTCCTTCAGTACATTTAGGAGATAGCGGTTGTGCGAAGGACGGTGGGAGGGGAGGAGGGGGTTTAATGTTATGCATCCCATTGAATTTTATGAATTTATATATTTACACCAGCTTTTCTTCCTTTGTTCATTGGATACTGGGTTTTGGATACGTGTCTGGTTTTTCAAACGCCTCTAGACCTTTATACATTATTTATACATATTTTCTTGTTTTTCCAGGAACATCATTCCATGATGGTTGTTCATGACTTTGGCAGTATTTTACTATTTGCTGGTGGTGCCTTCTACTTCTGGGCTCAGACGATCTTGACCTACCACTTCGCTAAAGCTGGTCTCAACTCAACGTGCATGTTTGGTTTCCGTCTCGCTATAACCGTTCTCATGACTATATGTGGCATCGTGTTCTTCGTGGCTGAAATCCCTGCTTACAGGCAATTCTTACTCAGTGGAACTAAGCGTACCATCCAACAATGGCGACCAGAAGACGGGGGGTACACGCTACACGTCGTAAGCAATGTCAGTGAGTGGATAGGAGCGTCCTGTTTTACAATAGTAATCTCGACGTTTTATGGCGAATTCCAGAAAATATCACTAAGCGTGAACTGTAGCTTGGATGGCTATCAAGGGCTTGCAAAATATTCTACATTTGGACGAATTAATGGGGACAATGGCGGTAACGAGAGCGATGATTAAACATTGATATACACCTATAAGAACGTTGATATTGGACAATGGTCCATGTGTAAGATGTTGTGATTTGTAAGAAGTCGTTAACCTGATAGTCAATTGTTATAAAGATTCTTGTATGTCGCTAATATATTGAAAACTAGTTAACTTGCAGAATTGAATTTAGGTCAAATCAGTTACACACTGCAAATTGGACTACTTTCACAATACCAACTATTCTCAGGTCGACATTCTCCATTATCAACGTTGACTGGAACTGGTGTACATAACCACGATTTCAGGTAGTCCTTGCTCTTGAAATCGAGGTTGATAGGTAATGATTACACATATCTGGACTTATCATCGACAAACGTGAACGTTCTGTAGAAAGCATTCAGTTTGGTACAGTGTCCAGGTAATGTCCAGAATTGTGTAACCAAGGGGTTGGTATTGCTTTTCAAATGAACTTTATTTATGAAATGGGAGGGCTGTTTATTTTAAAAAATGAACTTTAAATTATTATATATATGAAATGAATGGGTAGGATGATTAATATCGAATACATGCAATTAAAATATATACAAACAGTCAAACAAATTGAAGAGGTTATAATGGAAAAGAATTCTGGGTTATTAGCAAAATTAATAACAACATAACAAGGCTAAAAGACATTAGCTGGGAATCTTAGCACAGAAAGTGACAACCATTTTGTTTTTAATGTTTTTCAAAAAGAACTTGAGGTGAAAAGTGTAACGTCTTTATGTCTTGAGTACTTAGTCTGGTGGATTCTTGCGCGTTGATAATACGCGTAGTAGCTCGGCATAGAAGTTCAGTGTTACAGATGTTGAACTAGGGTACATTCTTGTACGAATGGAGGAAAGCAAATAACGTGACATATCTAACAGTTTAAAACATGTTTTATTTTTATACGATTAATTCTGAAATTTCCTAGCATGTTAATTAGTAGAGAGACGTTAATGTGGAATCCATGCAATGTGGCCGATGTAGGAATTGTCAAATTACATAGTTTTGACCATACGTCCTTGCTAGTTTTACCTTAACTGTAATTCTTTATTGATAACGAAATAACAACTTGAAAGTCTAAAAAGAACTATGGAAAGACTTGGTGCTTWTCGTTTAACATCGACGCAATATTGGATTCATAATTTCCGTCAATTAGCAATATAAAATATTCGGGACAACATAGCCTAGAGGACCTTCTCTCGGAATAACATGTTTAAGGGAATAAATAATACAATATGAGTTTAATGGGAGATGTTTATGTAAAGACATGAACAGTACAAATGTATTTATTTTTGTTTTCTGGTGGTATAGAAATAAATCATGCATATTTACAAGGTGAATATTTATGTCAGTCTTTGTTAATCTATAAATGTATTTGTGATAATCTCTTAGTATTATTTATTGTCAATTGAAGGTAGGATAAGGATAATGAAGTGGCTGGATTGTTTTGAATCAAATTCAACATTGAGTTCAATTGATTTTCCTATAAGGATACGACATGGCGAAAGTCGTGGTCTTGATCTGCCAACCTAAAGGGCCCCCCAGTACAAAGCATGAATAAAGTTATCTTCTCTATAGATTTTGTTGGATGTAATCCGCTGGATAAGTATTTAACCGATGAATAGCAGTTTCACGCTTGTGTACTACCATCCCAAGGACATGTTCTAACCSTAGGCATGGGTCAAACGTGCATGCACCGACGACAGTGCCAATATAATCGTAATAATTGAATTGAATTGAATTGCAAATTAACAAATTATTCGAGTAATGCGTATTGAATTGGGTACATGTGAGATACCACGTTTGAGCAGGAGGCCTTCATCGATTTGGTTTCTCGAGACTAAAACTGGATAGCGCGAAACCCATAAGGACTCCCCGCCCCCCGACTCCAACACTCTATTCCCAGAAAAATCAAAGTCMRACTATCTACATATAAAAAAGCTTTTTTACATCGTACCGTCCATTGCATGGTGCATAGTAAGCGGTGCAGGCGTTCCTTGTTCTAATCTTACTGTACCCAAACAGCACAAACAAGAAAACATATCAGTTTTACACAATCATCCCATAGACAACATCAAATAATTAGTTAGCAACAGATAATACGAAACAAAGATTTTCTGATAATACAAGAGGGATTTTAAGAAAAATGTGATAAAAAACAACCAAAACACTTAAAAGAAACAAGGAAAACACTCGGCTGTAGATCATTTCGCACGCTATACAACCAAACGAAGCAATACAGATCATTACCTCAATGTTGCGACTAAATATATATGATAAAAAAATCAAATTATTATTATTTTCCTCGAGAACGTGAAGTGCGTGCGCACACGCTTTCCCGACGGTTGTTGATTGATGATCTTATGTTTGCTTTGCAGGTGGCCGCGCATGTAACAGGTGGCCTGGGAGAAAGTTTGGGAGGTGTTTGCTTGGCAAGCCGCTMACACAGCAAACTAGAAAAACCTCGGGAACTTTGCAGCAAATCTTTTCATCCAAATAAGCTGCAAAGATGGTTCAGTTGGGAGGAATTAAGCTACAGGCTCCTATCGACCTACCGATAAACATGCCTTTTGATACGTCAAAAATACCAGATCTTGATCAGATAAAAGAGACTTTGAAAGATCCGAAAAAGTTGTTTGTAAAGAATCTTGTAAAGCTTGGTTGGACTAAAACTCAATGCTTACGCCTGCGCCAGAGTTATGGTAAGTCAAAAACTGCTAAAAGTCGAAAGAAAAGAATGCTTAGGGTGTCTTTTTTTCGACATTTTTTTTAAATTGTTTGTGGTGTGTGCTAGAGTGTTTTTGTGCATATTGTTTAGTAATTTCTTGTAAGCAACTATACACGTAATGCACTTCAAAATCTGATAAACAAGTGATACGCGCTWTTCTTATGTATTTGAATTACGTTTGAAGGCTGACGGTATAATGAAAGAAATCTGCAGAAAAACAACTGGAAGGTTGATGACTGAACATATCGCGCAAAATACTACGCGGGCRAAACGTCTACAACAGAAACCAAATTTGTTAAGGAAAAAATTTCAAATTTAGAACAAACTTTTCCTATATCAGAGAATCATTGTAACTAGTAGGTTGCAGAATTTAACCATTAATTCTATATATTTACATCTACAGGAGATTTAAGGAACATCCTCAATAATTTGCATAAACGAATAAGAGTTTTGCGCGTGGCGGGAAAAATTTGGCGCGGCCGTGAATGGTGTGTTCATTTACTACTCGATCGACCACAAAATGATAGCGCAAAGTTTCGTGAAATTAGATTTAGCAATTTATTTTATACAACAATATTAAACATGAAAAATCGAGAAAAATAACTTAATATAATTAGTATATCGATGATAATGATTGGTGCTATTTTTTTGTGAATAAAATAACATTTTTGCTTCAGTTTGTTCTAGGTCTTGTCTCCAATGTGTACGTATTTGCTTATCACGTATTCCTATCATCTCATTGGCTGCTACATTATTCTTAATCATTGGCTACACGGGCTTCAGTGTGGGACTATATGAAGCTGTATTTCATCTAAACAAATGGCTTAAAATGGACGTCATGTGAGTACACTGAGCATGCGCATTGAATGACACTATGTTTTCACTCTCTTTACGAAATSCGATCGATTGAAATAATGACTTTCATCAACAAATCTCATGAACGACCTCGAATATAAAGTGGGGAGATTTTGTGTAATTAAAGTATTTTTTGTTGTGATTAGTACCAATACCAGGAAGTACATCATGTACCTTGGAATATTTCTTGGTTCGTTGTCTGGTCTTGCTTTACTTCATGGATTTGCAGCAACTGGAAGAACAAGGTACACCTTTTACTCGGGATGGAAATCCAAATGCTGTGGTCGTTGCTGTATTCTCTCGGTAAGTTTTAATAATGGACGGTCGGTAGAAGATGCTTTTTTGAAACTCATATTTTTATGGAGATAACTGGTGAGTGGATGCATGAATGAATGAGACAGTGGGTTATGCAGTGGGTGTGTGAAAGACAACTCAACATCAAAAACCTTATTTCCTCATTCCACAGTTACAGCTTTATTGTTGACTGAGTTACGAAGAAAGGAGCATTTCATGCGGCGCTACTTTGTACACTTGTTACAAGACAGAATCGCAGTTCAAAAGAATGAAACATAAACCGAGTACATTTTTTTAGGCTATCATTTAACTAAGAAATGAAGGACAAGACTTCGCAGTATCATCAGTTTTATCATAAAATCATCATCAGTATACATTTTGAGACAAATGTCCACCCCTTCTATCAGGAACTTACTATGTGGTCCAATGCTCGTCTTTTGGTCAATAGAAAATGATTAAACTCTCTGACAAATTCATATTTCAGCTATTTTTCGGTCACTCACTGATATGGTTAATATGGACAATCATCGGTCCAGTCCTACTCTTCCCACTAATCTTCATGGGGATTGGGTTCGCCGTTTGCCAAGTGAAACTCGTCAAGCAACTTGGCAAGACGTGTATCGAGTTCGAGGAATACGGTAAGAATACATTATCATCATCATCGTTATCATCATCATCATCATCATGCATGGCGTGAAATTAAAACTTTACTGTGGATGTCTATAATCTACATTGTGATTATGGTATATGTACTACAAGCAATATATATTGAGAAACCTTGAAATTTTAATTGGGCTGCGATATACAAAAATGTAAATTAAAGTCGCTCTTAGTAGAGCGCATGTGGTTACTCCAAAACTCGACGAGGCGTATCCCATGAGGCATTGCGCCTTTCCGCTGCGATATCGATCGTGAAATGATATCGAACCGATTTCGGAAAAGAGTCGCGTGTTACATATTTCTTGCTTGCTTACATCACGATGACATAGTGGATTACTCCAAAAGGGAGTACCACAAAAAGTAAAAATTAGAAAGTAATATTAACCAGTTATGGACTTTTTTACATCTTCTTTGTAATATTGAAGCTAGTTTGATTCATATGTAGGCGTTGCTGACCTAGTTAACGTAGATAAAGTGTGTGGATATGAACTAGCAGAATTCTGTTCTGGTATAAGCCCTGCAACGCCGTATTTTGCTGTGACATTCGTTGGAGCTATATTTATCATTATTGGTGTGGTAAGTACATTAGTAAACCTGCCAGAGATTAGTACTTCACGCCCGAATTACAAACTAATACCGAATTACTAACTAATACCGAATTACTAACTAATACCGAATTACTAACTAATACCGAATTACTAACTAATACCACTGGAAAAATCGCGTACTTCAAGGGTTTCAACTTTGATGTAAATATGATGTAAGTCGTGTCCAAATTGATGTAAATGATTTACATCATATTTACATCAAATTTACAACCTTTAAAGTGCCCGATTTTTTGCAGTGTACCTGAGAAAGAATAAAATCTAGAAATTTARAAAGAAATTCTCAATCTTTTTGTATTTCACATGACGGCGCAAAACAGCTTTTGAAACATTATTAAAACACKTTTTATTTATTTTCTTGTACAGTTCATCATGCTAGTCGCTTTAATCGTAAACTTACTTCAAGTACACAAGCATCAAAAAGAAAACCTGCCATCAGAATGGTCAACATGTAAAGCATGTTGTCGTGTCGAAGACCCAGAGAAGTACGACGACTGTTGGCCGGAGCCACCTGTCGAAGAGGTTCAAGTATCAATGAGAGAGAAACTCAGGCTCAATCAGAAGACACAAGAAGAAGACGAACCGAACCCACACGGACAACAAGAATGGTCGTATATTTATGATTTTGAGAAAGAAACAGCGTATGTTGGTAAAAAATACTAGAAGGCTTCCACGCAGACCAAATTTGGTTCGCACTTTAATAATACGCATGCGTAGTTAAGACCAGGTGTTTGTTTTACTCCATAAGAGAGAACATTTGTCAAAGATGTATTGAAATGGAAGGGTCAGTCCCTCAATGGTCAGACCCTCAATGGTCATCCCCTCAAATCGTTGGTGAATGATTTAACTTTCCGTGTATTTTCTGTGCGAAAAATTCGAGAAAAACGTTCAAAAGTCTATGCATGCATTTTAGTCATAAACAAACTTGCTACACCAACAATGATCAAAGATACGGACTAGGCATTTGGAGATGAAAACATTTGTTTGCGCAGTACACTTGGCGCAACATAACAACCTTGAGTCTAATATTTTCTCTTAGCTTTGAGAATCTTTGTTTTGTTTTGAAGAAGATCTGTTACGGGCTGTTTTCAATTAAAAATATATCATTATTTCTCGGAACAAAATCTGCAAAAGAAATAAGCAAAAACAGCACAAGATGGAAATGGAATAATCCTGATAAACAATAAATTCTACAAGATGTCCTTCTCCCGTGTCAGAGAAAAAAATCTCGCAAAGGTTCTCGGATCCACGTAGACCTTTAAGGTGACAAAAGTTTTACAATGAGGTCTACTTGCTTTTAGTAATTTTCTAAAGTAAACGCCACATTTATATAAAGATTTCAATCAGCTCGATTATTATCGTTCTTTCTACTCCAAAACGCTGTAAATACGTGAAATAGCCCTTTATTAGTCGAAACAAAATTGAAATTATTTTAAAATTACATCAGAAATTATAAAATGCATTTTTTTAATTTAAATAAAGCATTGATATTCCATATCCTTTCTTATTTGTTGAAAGGTTGACCAACTGATTTCAAATTCCACATTGTACTCACAGGATGCACAAACGCCACAAGATCACAACAGTATTTTGCATTATACAAATTCGTCATAGTCAGCTGTTTTCATTTTTGTCGATTCCATTCCCACTCGGTTCTTGGCCATCAGTGGTCGCATCGCGGTCAAAAGACTGCTGTAGATCTCAGGAAAGAGCAATTCTTGCGCCGCTAGTAACTGCTTTGTGCGATGTCTTTCCTGAGGATTATAGAAGCAATTGAAATGAATTTTCGTTTTAGCGTTTGAAAGAATTGTTGGATTTAGTTATGACTGTGGACGACCGGGGACCGCGCTGAGGGAAGAAGTGGGATTGAGGGGGAGGGGTGGTGTGCAGTACTGGGCGGGTGTAAAAGAAAGCGTTGGTTGGCAACTTGCTTTAGGATGTAAGTGGGATATAATGTAGGTATGTGAGATGATGTAGGTGTAAGATGATTTCGATGTCGAAATTTTAACAGTCTTTCTCAAGACTTCTCACACCCGGACGATCATAAAACACCTACATCAATTACAGCTTAGTTCTGACCATTTACTCTCAAACATGCTTTACCTTGGGCGCTTCGAAGCATGCTGGACAGTTCTCCGCAATGACGGGAAGTTTCGCCTGTAAATAAAAGTTCTACATCACTATAAARTATAGGTTCTGCTTTGTTGCGTCAAATGCTACTAACCTTRTCGGCGAATTGTCTGAGTTCCTTTTCTCGTACAAATACCAAGGGTCTTATAACTCTCAGATCTCCTTCCCTGGAGGTAGAAACAATCAACTAATAAATATTGTGCATATCACATTTCTCATTTGACAATAAATCTGGTTGAGGTAATGGTAAGGATTAAAAAAAAAACTGCGAACAGAGCGTACTGTTATCATATAGGATTGACTATGTGGAAGAATAGTCTCTTTTGCAGACGATCTTAAGGTCTGACCGACGCCAACATTGTCTACAAGAGGAAGATGGGATAAGACTTGATAACATAGAATTCATAGATGTAGAATAGCCCAATTTTGTGTTCTGCTTTGTTCTGCTTCAAACCGTGCAATATCATCCTATATCCTAATAAAAATACCTTTAGAAATGTCTCACTTTAGAAATAAGTAATACTTACTGCACTGTGTAGTTCGCCTTCATCGTTCGCAGCAGACCATTGTGAAATGCTGACATGAGAAAACTGAAAATAACAAAAATAATGTTGATCGCCAAAGACGACAAAAGATATAATACAAAGAAGAAAATCACCTTTCCGTCAAATCATCCAAGTGTTGACCCATGGCAAGCACATTGTAGCCTTCACGCCTCGCGCATGCGTACAGACGACCTCGCTTCATTCGCGAACAAAAGCTACAAATAGACTCACAGGCGGGAAGCTGGGCTGCCTGTTGGATGATTCCTACAGTAATGTAACAAAATATTGAATACTGTTATAAATCTTCAACTATTTGAAATGAAGTAAAACATGGTCATTCTGTTACGTGATTAACAATCTAATGAACTGGTGGTACTAGTGGCAGATATGGTGGTGTTGAGATTCATTCAGATTTTACTCCTTAAAGAAACGCTCCGATTTGACAACCATAGAATGTGATGAAGAAAGCATTAAACTATGCCCAAATACTAGAACACCATCCAGCGTCCAAACATTGTTGTTTTATCAAACACATTCTTGGAAACTTCGCACATTAGACTCTTAGATGGACTTCAAACAAAGTGACTCAAAGAGAAAATTTGGGGGTAGTCTCCWRGTCTCCTCTCGTAGCCTTTACGAGCCTCTTAACGGCTGCGRGAGGAGACTAAATTTTGGGTCGCTCAACAATTTGGTTAAAAAAAATAAAACAAAAAGAACACTAAAAGTATCAAAATCACCTTGTTCCTCGAAGAAATACGGGACACCAAGGGCTGCTAGATATGGAATAAGAGGTCTTGGATCATATGCGGTGGATTGGGGATCTACTGTCGCAGCACCAATCTCAAATGCAATGCCCTGCAACAAAAAGACAGGTTGTCACAAGTTATCACGATGAGAAGCTAGCATACCTGCAGCTTACCTTAGATTTTGCTTGATATTTATATTGTTGGAGAGCGTGCAGCAGTGAAAGAGAATCTTTACCACCTGACAAGCAAACCATCACATGATCGCCATCCTTTATCATTGAGAATTCTTCAATAGCCTACAGTGAGTATCAATTAAATATGACAGAACTTCTATTAAGCATCAAGCTCCATGAAGTGACCACTCATTAAGTAGTCATCAACCTCTATTAGGCAGCCACAGTAAAAAGTCCCAATGAAACGGTCACATGGTACTAAATCCGCCATACTCATTGGATGGTAAAATACCCACTGGGATTTTCAAAACAAAGAAAAGTCAAGTTTGAGAGGCTGTGTTCCTTTTGTTTTTGAGGTTGTTTACATTCTTTTGCCATCCAGTATGGTGGATTTAGTACCATGTGACCGTTTCATGCAAAAGGCCAATTTTCTCTTTGTCCTGGGCTGGGTTGTTCAATTAGTGTTAATCCAGAGCTGCTTTTTTAAGAGTTAATTGAGGATTAGCACTAATTTTAGCTTTGAAAGTCATGAGGATTACAATGTGCCTACCTCTACCATTGGTTTGAAGATACTCTTTGAAGGATGAACAAACTTGGGTTTTGTACTTTCTTTCAGTGTTTTTTCAAGTTTTGAATCATGTTTGCTTTGTTTTGTTTTCTTATTACAAGTCATCGGTTTGTTTAAAGGACAAGATTGCCCTAAATCTCCACAGTTCATCCTGGCTGAAGCATTGTCAATATCACTTGACTGTTGATTAAATTCTTTGCTATTTTCTTTTGATAATCCAGTGTCTGTATTCTGCTTATTTTGTAAACATAACATGCTGTTATTCCCTGTATTTTCACTTAAATGTGAGCTGACAATGTTAGACTTCATATCATCAGAACATTGGTTTGAATAATTATTCTTTTCTAAAGTTTCAGAAGTAACTTGTTGAGCTGTATTTCTTTTTTCCATTCTTGCATTCTTGCATTTTTCCATTTCTACATTGTGATCATTGGTTACTGGCTCCCATGAGCGTGGTGTAAAAGGAGGAGTTTTAGGGAGGTGGGAAGGAGGTTTGTGCTGTAGTATGGTAGCAGCTTCACTTGGAAGTAAAAACCACCGTAACTTTTCACCTTCTTTGCTAAGGAGCAGGGTGTGGTCACTAAGAGTTGTAGCTGACTGTGAAATTGATAATAAATTTATCTAGCATATACAACAAATACAAAATTGGAAAAAATATCAACCAAAACAGTTAATTAATTAATAAATTAAATAATAAATAAATAAATAAATAAATAAACCAACAGAATTAACAGATATTGACAATTCTTACCTTCTCAGCATTTTCAAAAATCTGTTTTGCAGTGAGCAGGCAGTCCTAACAATAAAATTAACTTTATTTCTATAATAACAGATTTTGTTAACAGGAATCATGTTCTGATCTACCTGTGGATCTTTAGGGAGTCCTTCTGTTTTGGTAGGGGCTGGGTAGGTCATGTGACCATCCAAGTAACTGATTGAACCAAGCCATTTACGATCACGAAAAACCTGACAATCAAAAACAACTACATGTTGTGGCTTATATACCAAGTACTTCTTTTAACAAACATATTTAAATACTACCACAGCATAATGTCCGAAATGTCATTAAACTAATTTTATTATTTTAAGGTGTATAATATATAGCCAAATTTAGAGGTTTTTGCTTGGTGACTATGCACAAAAGAATTGGAGACGAGGCATTGGGGAAACAAAAAAATAACATGGTTACTCAACCAAAATCTAAAGCTGACTATTCATCCTTTAATTACAACTGTTTAGTAACTTGTATTTTCATGGTTAGAGATAAAATGTACATGTAGGATACTGTAAACATACACTGGTAGAGAGAAAAAAGTGATTCAAGGAACTCAAACTACAGGCAAAGAATCTGAGTCTACATTGTCCAATGCTAATATGAAAATGCAGTACTAATAGCCCATTTATATACCTTATGACGTCGATGCTTCCATTCCCCAGTTTCAGGATTAAACATATACTAAACGGAATCAAATAATCAGAAAATTAACAGATAATGTACATTGCCTGTATATAACAATTGACCAAAGGACAAAAATTTAAGATGTTTTTACTTGAGGGAGTAGCTTCCAACCATGATCTGCTACCATAGCAACAGCTTTCAGTATAAACTGTATATGCTCATCTGATATGAAGTATGGTAGATTAAGACGAACAAAACCAGGTCTGAGGAGGTAAAAATAATAATGACTTGATTTTGTGCAACTCATTACATGTAAAATACAACTAGGTAAACATCTTTTTAAATGATTAATTTAGAAGAAATTTTAATTATTGCAATTTGATTTTTTATTTTTCGTTTAAATAGAGTACAAAAGTTTTTTTTTGTTGAGAAACACAGATTTTATACAAGTTCAGTCCAAAGTCTGTGTACATTTCTTAGGCCTTTTTTTACGTAGAGTCAAACTGTTTTGTTTTAAATCATTCAGAGAAAAGAAAGGAAAAGAGTTTGTCTCTACTACATACAATTGACCTACCTCATGTAAACAGGACTTTAATGTACGGTGTTGAAGTATTTACCTTATTGCCTCGTGCTCTGAGTACTCATTGTAACGTCGAAGATGGACACGATCAAGACGGCTGAATATATATAAGATATGACACGATCAAGACGGCTGAATATTTATAAGATATCAAGGTACATGAATTAGAAAGGCAAGGATAACATTATAATAATTGTGATAACCGTGGATAATTGAAAAATCACTAAAACTGAATAAAACAATCGAATCAAAAAATCATTTGATCAAAAATAATAATCTTTATTAAGAAACCCTGATAATCAGGCAACTTTGTTAAATATTAAAATCCTTATTAATACCTATCTTCTAGAAGTAAAGCTTCAAATTCCTTTGCAAGTGCTTCATCCATTCCTAGCAAATCCTGTTATTCATAAAATACACAGATAAGCAAACATAATTGGAATATTATAGTAAAATTATTATCTAAAACAATATGCTATTCTACATTGATCATTATCAGCAAACAACTGCTGCCAGCATACCTGTGCATATGGTCCAGCGCAAGCACATCCACCACGCGACTGAATGCCAAATAAATCATTTAGCAAGGCACTGACGTAATTATAATGAAGATATAATCCACTAAATGGATGACGAATTAAAAATGAGAAGATTGGTAGCCGCTGAGATGTCTTGTTACCCAACAGAACAAGATTTGGTGAATTACGCCAGGTGGAGAAGGCCATTCTAGAAAAGATGTTTATAATAACACAATCATTCAAATAATACTGTATCACATGTATGCACCTTGACTAAAAACATTCAATATAGCTTGACACTGATTATTAGCTCTTGTCATTCATGTTGTACTGACTCTTTACTCCAAATCTTATTTTGTTTCCTTTTATCAGTAAACATTACTTAAGCTCTGGATATTTTTTATGTGCTTCTTTTGTGTATTTTTTGGTTGTAGTAATGTTTTCAATCCAATTTTAACAGTTATTTCAAACCGACCTGCACAGCTTTTCCTCCTGCTCCATTATGTTTTTGTATCCTACAGCCTTGAAATCAGAAAATGTGATTAAAAAAATTAATGAAATAAGAAGTGAAATGGGATGAAAACAATGAAAAATGTAAAAATTAGTAAAAGAAATGATAAATACCTCTTTTAGTTGAAAGACAAGACCAGCTCTGATGGACTCAACAATGGCAGGAGTACCACCTTCTTCTCTAGTTTCAGTTTCTTTGAGATATCGATGAGTATTCTCTGTCACCTGCAAAGTATATTTTACAAATTTGCAGCACAAGTATTTTATCAAGAATTGAGTAATGTTGGAGTTTCACATATCATAAGCTGAGTCACTTACAAAAAATACACTCCCACCACCACATCCTGAAGGAACAGGGTTTTGAAACAGCTTTTTTTTAGCAATAAGAACTCCTAAAAATAACCACAGCATTTACTACAAATGATTAGTCGATAACAATATCACCGTTTAGATTTGATTACCTGGTGT